CAGGCCCCGTCGCCTGAATTTACAGATTTTTTGTCAAAATGCCATTTGACAAGGATTCTCAACTCAAGGCACTTAAATGAAGTTATTTTTATTGTTATTCCTACATTCTAATTGATCCTAGTTATCAAACAGTGCAGTAAACTCAGTTAATTATTCAAATCAGTTAAAAAAGTTTTCTGTCTAAGGAAGCTCACCAGATTGTAACAACCTGCAAACTTGCAAAAAGTGAAATGATTTGATCTGCACAGTTTTTTTTTAGAAAGCATAGTACAGAATCCATGTTGTTTATATAATCTTTACTGATTCTCAATAAAACAGTTTTGTTAGGTGAAACTTGATTCAATTTTATTAATTTGCAGTTTTTAAGGACATTGTTCAACTATTAAATAAAATATATTTTTTATTTCTTTAGTTCTTTAGTATACATCTTTTGGACTCCATTATGGTAAACACTCTGTCTTTTGTCTTGTTTGTGAGTAGATTCAGTAACTCTCAGTCGCTTTCCATGAAATTATTGATTTTGCTCTCATTTCCCCTTAATAAACGGTCATCTTGCTGCAATAAAACATAAAATATGCTCTTGTTGTAAACCGTAAAGCATAAATAAAGTATTTATTTATATTTGAGGACATTCATCCCCTTTGTTTCTTTGCTGATTAACCTAACAATACACATATTTGCTGTACATAACATAATATTTATCCATATTATGCTAAAACAAAATTTCAGATCTGGGAAACTAAAGGTCCCAGAGTGGGTCGACACTGTGAAGCTGGCCAGACACAAGGAGCTAGCTCCCTGTGATGACAACTGGTTTTACACCAGAGCAGGTTGGTTACTATTCACCCAACTGGACTGGGCCACACGCTGTGCCAGATCCAATTTTAATTGATTATTTGGATAATTAATTTTTTTTTCTTTTCTGTTTTGGAGTTCTCATAAAATTACTACTTCATTATTCTAATATTACAACTGTATTCTTGTAACATTAGGATTTTATGTGGACTTTGGACCTGAATCCAAAGTCCACATAAATAGAAGGTTGTCAAACAAGATGGCCACCCTCTTAACTATGGAAACCCAAGGAGGACATTGGTGGAAAAGAAACAAATTTTCTAAAACTTAAACCTTCAAAACACAAAAATTTGATTAAATCAATCAATTTAATTTATCACCCAGAAATGACTATAAATTGTATTGAAAACTTTAATAAAATACTCCATCCATCCATATTTAAGTAATATTTGATATGTTTTGTTTTTAATTTTGTCACTTTTGGACCTCCGTTGATGTGTTTAGGTTAATCCAAATGTCCATTTTGGGGTTTGTAATCAGATCTTAACAGTAACAATATAAATAATTGATTACAATAAGCAAAACAGAAAGAAAATCATTAGTGAAATTAACTATTTACGCATCCCGTCTTCACTCACTACTAAAGAAATCACAACTGTTATTTGTCCAGCTTTTATTTTAAATGTGAGGATTTATTTGATATAAATTGGCTTTAACATAATGAGTTGATGTTTAATTTCACTTTATTTTGCATCCTGACAGTAAATATGTCAGGAAATAGCCAGTACATATTTATTTTATTTTTCCCACCTCTCTAGCATCCACAGCCCGCCACCTCTACCTGCGAGGAGGAGTGGGAGTGGGCGCCATGATCAAGATCTATGGAGGCCGCCAGCGGAACGGCGTATGCCCCGCCCACTTCAGCGTGGGCTCCAGGAATGTAGCGAGGAAGGTCCTTCAAGCCCTGGAGGGCCTCAAGATGGTGGAGAAAGACCCCAATGGGTAAGACAGGAAAGAAAAGAAAATCTTGGTCAATAGTTTGCCAATCTTTATCAAAGTATGGATGCTTTTTCACTCATTCTCTGTCCAGTTATTGACTCTTAACGACAGAGTATTAGGGCCAGACTAAGAGATTTATTTATTTTTTTTAAATTATGACAAAGGAATCAGCGTCTAATCTTTAACATTTAATCTTACAGTGGTCGTCGACTTACTCCTCAAGGTCAGAGGGATTTAGACAGAATCGCTGGACAGGTGAGGTTTTCCATGATAAATATATTTAGAATTTTATAAATATGTATAAATGTATGTGCTGCTTTAATGTGTCAAACTTAATTGTATAAAAAATAATCTTGGCTTCTGTCTGTTTTTACACTGCAAAAACACAAAATCTTACCAGATATTTTTTTTTGTTTAGTTTCTAGAGGAAATATCTTAGTGCACTTTAAATAAGACAAACTAACTCACAAGTAAATTTTCAGCAAGGCATAGGAGTTGATTTTAAATAAATAATTCATTAATATTGATGAAAAAGTTCTAGTGATAATTTCACTCATATCAAGACATTTTTCCTATTTTATAAGTGAAATAAGCTGCCAATGGAACTATCACTTTTTTTAATTAATGTTAATAAATTATTTACTTAATCTCCTCTATCTTAGTAAAAAGTTACTTTAAGTTAGTTTTGTCTTATCTCAAGTGCACTAAGATATTTCCTGTAGAAGCTAACCAAAAAAATCTGGTAAGATTTAGTGTTTTTGCAGTGTATTTTTGATAATTATTAAGTAAATGATAGAAGTGATGTCTTATGTTTTATCAGGCTTCAGCCTTTGCGCCCAATTAGTGGTTGTGTATTATTATTAAATTCTGAAATTAAAATACTATATTTTCAGAAATGTTTTATTTTTTGTCCAACTTAAAAACTAAAGTGATCATATTTAATTTTATTTGTCTTATTTTAGAGAAAGTTATTTTTTTAAAAAGATATAACAAGCTGTGGGGGCTCACACTTGGCCTGTGGTATTTGCTGCCATATTGTCTCTAAGAAACTGTTAAACTGTCTTTAGGATGTTGGACACTTTATATTTATTGCTTTCTTGTCCCTTTGTGTGTTCAGGTCGCCTCTGCAAACAAGAAACAGCGAAGTTTACAAAGCGCCGCCTGAGGAAAGCGTCCAGAGCGCGTACGCCGTGTTTATTCACTTTTTATTTGCTTGTCTTTCCATATCAGCCTGGTTCCCACTCTGTCCAAGGACAGCAGAAAGAGATGCATGAGTCTGAAGTTCAGCTGAACTTGTGAACCAATATAAAGTATAAACAAGCATTAGCATGTTAAAGTTGTTGCTCTCCACCAAGAAGCTGTGAAAAACGGAAAATAAAACAAATGCAACGGACCCAAAAACATGTTTTACTCTTTCGAACAGCTTTGTCTGCAGAAAATTATGCATATTGTTGATTTAGCTACACTAAAAGCTGATCAATAAATGTATTTGTCCTGTCAGCACTAATATCTGGTGATCTGTTTTTCTGTGGAAATATTCAAAACATGTTAAGTTGTATTCCGAGTAAAGGTAAAGGACTAAGAAAATTAAATTAAATTGTTTTAATTTTGAATAGTGACAAAGGGGAAGAATAAAAATAAAATAAAAAACTGCAGAAGTAGTGTGTTTAAATGCAATAAAAAAAACTCAAGGGAAAAAAAAAGAAAAATGTATGGAATACTTGGTCAAAATTGAGAAAATATGCAATAAAAAAACTGCCGTGGAATTTCAAGCTTTGGCTCAAAGTGAAAAAAAAAAATCAGCAACATTTAAGTGAATTTAAAATTATTTCATTAGTAGATTTAGCATCATTGTAGCTTTTTTAGTGTATAAAAGGCAGTAAAAATAATCTTTGTTTTTTACAACATTTTGTGTTTCACACCATCTAGTAAATAATTCATAAGCCTGTCATACAACTGGATCTTCAGTCAGAGGCTTCTACAGAGCATCTGTAATACAGACTGCTGCAGCAGACGTGTAATAGCAGTTACATTTAATTAATTTACCTTTTGAACTAATAAAGTAACATTTGTATTAAATATTAATTTATTGCTTGAATAAAATGGACAATAGAACAGAAACTTTTAACAAATTTTTATTCAACATAAATAAAAAAAAAAAAATGAAGGTAAAAAAATATGTAACAGGTTTAGAAATTTTTTTATACAACTATTTACAGGATCCATAATCCGCCTGTAAAGTAACTTGTGAAATTGAATTGAAATTTCTAACATAAAGGAGAAAAAAAAAAACCGATTACAAACCAGTGACTTCATCCGTTCTCTCAATGAGAGCAAACTTGTGTTCATAATAGTAGCTTACGCTTTTTTTTAGTCCTGAAAGATTTAACAATGAGGAATCTGTGTTCATTAAACGTTTTATTAAATACAACCTTGCTCTATAAAACCTTAGAGGTAGTACACCTGAGAGAGACGAGAACAGCGTCCTTCCTGTTCATCCACCTCCAGCTGTTTAAAAGCCCAAACGCATTTCTGTTAGTTGGTTGATTAGACATTTATTGTTCAAATATACAAAAAGATTTAGAAAGGACTGCACGGCAGGATCAGCGAGTCCTGCAACAAGAAAATTCTCCTTCATCAGCCTTAAAATGCACACAGAAAAAAAAGATAAACAGAAACATCAGCGGGGTAAAAGCACTCGGATCATCACAAATAAAAGTAGAAATATTTAACTGGCTGCAGGCGGGACGCACTGATGGAGGACTATTAAAACTAACATTCTGGGGATAAATAACAGCAAGACCTAAAACATTGAAGTCCCTGCTCTCCGGAGAAGAGTTAAAATGTAGCTGCTCTATAATGTACACAAGGTGCTTTGGGTGTGACAGGAAGTGGAGCCGTGTCCCGTTTGAGGAGGTCGTGTAAAGTAAGGTGCTGAATGAATCCTCCTCGTTCTGCCGACGGCTCCGTCTCCCGCTGCTGGTGAGCTCCGTCTGCGGGCTAAAGACACCTTGAAAGAGCGTGAAACAAACGCTACAACTGTCCAGGAAAGGCATGAGAAGATAACCTGCCCATGATTTGTTTATAAATTAAACTCCACAGAAGATGGCTTCTTCTTGACAGAGCGGTGATGTGCGTGGCTAGAGTTGCTAGTTTAGGTATCGGCGGCACCGCCTGGCGCCGCAGTTGCAGTGCAGCTTGTTGTCGTCGTCCTCGATGGGGAACTTGTAGTCGTAGGTGAGCTCCTCGCCGCGGTAGATCTTCCTCAGGGCGAAGATGACAATGTGCTTGCGGCCGTCCACGTTGATGACGCGGGAGTAGCAGTTCGGCTCGCACGAGTGGTTGATGAAGCGAGCGGCGTTGCCCTGCATCGTGGCGTCCACCACGTCGAAGTCGTCGATGCGGAACATGTAGCAGCCGATGCCCTGGAGTGAAACGACAAGAGAAGAAAATCTGTAATTTCAAAAATTAAGATGCATTCCGTGTCTTATTAAAATCTAATTGCGGACCACTTCCGGTTCGGACTTGTGGAAACTACGTATTTCAATTCTTTATAGAATCTTTTTGTTCTACAACTTGCACAAGCAAGAAGAAGAAAACTGGAATCCAAAGTCTTAAGTTGCTTGGAGAGTTTGGGGGAAATTCCCAAGCAGCTGGAGTCGGTGGTTAACGGTGTAACAGGAAATTATGATTTAATAACTCAGCTGGATTCTGCACCAGCCAAAACTGCAAAAAGTGGCAGCATCTGCTTTAATTACAGAGAGGAAGGCAATTATAAAGAAGATGAGACACAACAATAAAGACAAGCTGAACTGACTGCCTCCTTAGAATAAGAAAAAATCCCCATAAAAGACAAGAAATTGTTTCTGCTCCGTCGCGTTTTCGGCTGTCAGTCACTCCACATTGGGAGCTTCCTGTCTTCAATCAGCAGCTTTACTCTGTGGACTCGTTTCTGTTTGCGTCACAGCAGGAGGTGAGACAATTTTAACATGCAGATACGTTCATGATGCAGATATTTAAGAATATTTATGAGAACAAAATGCACAAACTCAACCAACAAAACTAATTTTCCCTCGATGTGTGAATTTTGAACTGAATTTTATTTCTACAACAGAGAATTAGGGCCAGGCTAAGAAAAAAAACTAATTACTTCAAGAATAAAGTCTTAATATTAAAAGAATAAAAATCAATATTACGCTTAGGAGTATAAAGTTATATGACAGTAAGTCATAATATTACCAGAAAAAAAGTTGTAATAATACGATAATAAAGAATCATAACAATATGAGAATAAAGTCATATTGTAATGAGGAAGAAGAAAAAAATTAAATCAGAAAGTTATAATATTAGCAGAATAAAGTCATAATACGATAAAGTCATGTTGTAATATTAAGAAAAAATCCATGAGAAAAAATGAGAATAGTCACAAAATTACCAGAATAATATCATAACATGATAATAAAGTGGTACAATAAAGTCACATCACCATAATAAAGTCGTAATAAAGTAACATCACCAGAATAAACCTGTGATTTAATAAATTACATCATAATTTGTCTTTTAACACGTCAACATCAAATTAGTATCAGTAGCACGATTTGAAATGATGGTGCAAACAAATATGATTGTTTCAAAGAAAGAATCAAGTCAGATCTTGATGGCTAACGAAGCTTTGGTCTCAATAAAACAACTTTTTTCTTCTGATAAATCTTTATTCTAAGATTATGACTTTAATCTCTTCGTCTGATCCCGGCCCTCGGGGTCAGACTTTAATTTGTCAGAGATTCAATTTAAACCTGATTACTTGAACTGAACGTTTGCCAATTACTGCGGTTACTATTTATAAATAACATTTTACATTTTACGTCAGGGGACAGATTGAGGAAAATGTTTTGCTCACCTTGCTGTCGTAATATTTCTCCCGTTTATCGGTCAGGACGGCTCGGATGACGGTGCCGGCGTACTCGATCACCATCTCTCCAGCATCGATGTTCCTCTTGCAGAAAAGTCCACGGCCGTGAATCGGAGATCTACCGTGCAAAGATGGAAGAAGGATTTCTCTTGTGTTCTAAAAAACATTAGGAGTTTATTCAGATGTTTCTCCTGTATTTACCTGTAAACGCCCACTGCTTCTTTGGAGATTTTCTCCAAGTGTCTGAACCTCATCGCCATGGGAAGCTCGCTGCTGGTCGCTCGTCTAGACGAGTTAAAGACGAGTTGAGGTCAAAGCCAATCAAGAGCAGATGTTTAATGAATAGCAGAGATTTAACCAACTAACCTGGAGGCTTTAAGTGGGAATTCATCATCGTCTTCATCGAACGGGGCGATAAACTCTGGGAGCGGTCTGTGCTGCGAAGCCAGGAAGTTGAACATATCAAACGTTGCTTTCCTGGTTTGAAAAACAAAAAGTAAACACAAGGTAAGTTGCCATTTAAAAAAACAAAACAAACAAAACAAAAGACAAATTAAAGCCCCAATGATGTGCTTTTAAAACTAAAAACTGCTCAGATGTACAGCAACAAGATCCTTCAGAAATTAAAATAATGACACCACTTAATTGATTTAATTATATTTTATTCCACAGATTGTGTCCTGGTGTTGAAACTGCAACGTTTGTGACCCGGCCTGTCAGTATTTCTGTCAGGTAAAGATATTTAAAGTTTGTTTTTCTGCTAGTTTGGAACTCTGTGAAATGTTAAAACGAATGCTCTTCATGTCAGTAGGTTTTAAAAAGAAACCGTTCTGGGACCGTCTTCTCTCTAAAACAAACAGAAACACTGAGGTTTTAAATAAAACAGAAATCAGATTTTATTTTAAGCCACTCAGCTCTACCTCCTTCCTTTTCTGGTTTGGAAAAACCGAACTATGTGCAAAAATCAAGCACTAAACAAAGTGATATCCTAAAGTTTGATCTTTGATCTGTTAATTAAACTCTAAGCTGATCTGATTACAGTCAGAGGAGGTAAACAGAAATGAGTCCAAAATAATATTCATTGTCTGTTTTTAGATGATGTATATTGTTGAACGTAGCTGTATGTAATTAAAAACAACTTGTTTAATTTAACTAAGGAAGAAGGAAAAGGGTAAAATGTCATGTTTTCAAAAGAAATGACAATATTCTTTAAAACTAATGAAATAAATATTTAAATTTGTAATAACTGAGCAATAATAGCTACTTGTTGGATTAAATGTTTGTTTTATTTTGTCTTAATCATTAACAGCTATTAGTGTCACTACTACCAAGTTAATCATTGATTTGCCAAGAAACTAACCCCAATTTAATATATTTTGATTGTACAACACATTGACCAAGAAAATAAATGTATCTTTATGAATAAGATATACCAAGAAAATCAAATTCATCCTTCAGATTAACCAAGATATTCTTCACCAAATTAGATTAAAGTTATAGTTGCTACATTTGTGATTTTCTGACGCAGCGCACCGTGTGTAAACTTCGGCGCGGGCGCAGCCGCTCGGGTTGAGAGGAAGCTCTTCCTCGGCGTCGTCGCAGCGGTGGAAGCGGAAGCGGTGCCGCTTGCAGTCGGCGGCGCCCTCTAGCTGCTCCAGCAGGAAGGTGACGGCGTCGTGGACGACGCCCAGGACGCGCTGGCCGCTCATCACGCCCAGAGGAAGCTGCTTCAGGTGGAAGTCCGCTCGAGCGTCAAGGACGCCGTCGACCACGGCGCGCCACGCCACTGAGAAGCAAAACATTTGTTTAAAAATATAAAGTAGGATTTTAGCAAACAATTTTTTTTAAATTGATTATTATGACAATTATTGGGCCGAAAACTATCTGTGGATTTTTCACTAAATCTTTTTTATGCAACATTTGAAATACTTTAAAAGACGCAAATGAACAAATAATTAAATTTGCCTAAATTCCAAAAACATAGCATATATTTAATATACGCTTGATAATTTGTAGCAAAGGATGAATCTGCAGCTAAACAAATACTTTCAATAATTGATTAATAACTGAATAGCAACAAGTTTGTTTTTATAAAATTTGAACCAGATGATACTAAAATTGTCAGTTGAAAAGTTATGGACAGAAAATATTTACAGATAAAAGTGTTTATTGTAATAAAAACTTTATTATAATAAAAGTACAGTTTTGCATTTTATCTTAAATGCAAAACTGAAACTCTCCAGGTGTGTGAATTTAAAACCAACAGAAATGTTTCTAAAACAGAATATTAGGGTCACGCTAACAAAAAACAATTAAATTACAAGAATAAAGTCAAAATCTCAAGAAAATAAGGTTGGATGACTAAGTTGAAATAATATTGGAATAGTCATACAAGAAAATTCTCATTATACGAGTAATAATATGATAAAATCATATTACGAGAGTAAAGCTCTAATATTATCAGAAACTAGTCACAATAAGACAAAAAATTATAAAAATCAAATAATAAGACAACAGTGTTATGATAAAAATTAATTTTTGACTTAATTGTTGCTCTGAGTGTGTTGTTCTTTCAGCAAATGGCCTTTTTGAGTCTGTATGCTCCTGTTCAGGGTTACTTAGTTACTAAATTAGTGGACAATTTCAATAATAGATTATGATTAATCCAATTAATCATTTCAGCCCTAAAGCGAAGCAGAAGAACCCGTCCTACCCTCAATGCTGTTGGCCTTGACGCTGAAGCCGTCGTCGCTGGTGATCTCAAACCGCAGGTGAGGCTGATTCATGCAAGTCTTCTTCCTGTATTTGAGTGCAGGAGCGTCGTCTTCCGAGCTGAAACCTGCAGAATCACAAGCAAAGATGGATTCAATTTCACACACAAACTAAACAAAATAACCAAAAGATCCATAAAGAGCCGAGCGACAGACCTGCATAGGGAGCCCACTCAGAAAGCTCTCCATGTCGAGAGCTGACCCACATGTGGGTTCTGCAGCGTGAGGGACCGCCGGGTCGGGACGATGGAGCCGAACTCTCAGCCTGAGGACGCCTGAGGAACCAGGAAGAGACGAGCAGAGGATGAAAAACTGAAAGAAAACCTTGTAATATGTCAAAATGCACCTCTGTGGCTGAAAATAATAACTACAAATTATTTGTAACTTCTTGTAATTAACTATCTTAGTCTGGTGACGTATAAAATGCACTTTTCAAGCATTTTCAAGTTTAACATTTTTTAGTTTAACTAAAATATATTAAAAACATTATTTAAAATTTTTTAAATTAAAAATAAAAAAAATGTAACTGGTTCGAGAACCAATCACAACTTTAACAAAAAAGAAAGAAAAAAATCACCTCATTTCAATAATGTTGCACAATGTATAAAATATAAGAGCAACTTTAATTCATTTAGCCATTAAGAATAATACATATCCATCACATTGAAACCATTCAAACAAATCATGTTAAAGTAAATTAACTTCCTGCTCAAACTAAATGATAAATACATAATATACAAGAAAAAAAAATTCTTGCCCAGTTTTCTTTCATTTAGCAAATAGAAATAAGTTTAACAACTCTAACTGACCTAAAAGGAAAAAAAAAACGGTTTGATTTAACTTCAGACAGTGAAAAAAATGTGGATATGTCCTTTTATTATCTTTAAATATCTGTTTTCAATTGTAAATAACATTTTCAAATCAGACATTAGATTGCAGTTTATTACAAAACTGTGCAGTTTGAATATTAGACGCTTTGAAGCATTTTCCAAACCTTGAAATTCAAGCATTTTCAAGGATTTCAAGCACCCATACAACTCCTGCGTAAAACATACATAATTCTCGTTTTCTAATCTGCTGAAACTGATTGTTACTGGAAACCTGTGAGTAACAGTGTTACCTGAAAGTAGATGGTGCTGGAGGAGGAGGAGGAACGGTGATCTTCATCGGCTCAGTTGCCTTCACCTGGTTCAGATCGATAACGTCGTTTGTTGTTGGAGCTTTCATTCTGACACCGCCGGGTCTGTTCAGAAAAATCCAACCACATGTTTTACATTTCCTCTAACTTCAATCCTTTGAGAAAACGTCTGAATCGGCTCTTCTTTTTTTCTTCCGACTTTTTGAATCACAATAAGCAATAAATCAATTAATCACAACATAAATGCGAAGAAACACAATCATTTCCATTTGAATTATAAATTGCTTTTCTAATTTTTCTCTTTTTCTTTTACTAAAAACTGGAAGAAAAAAGTTTTTAGTCTCAACTAAACCTTTTTTTTTTAAAGAGATACTTCACTATTCGCTTTATTTGTTGTTTCTGTAGTTTTGTTTATCTTGAATATTAAAATGTCTTCCAGTTCCAGTGGTAAATTATTAGAAATTGAAGTTTCTTGATCTTTGAGAATGTGTTCTTGCATTATTATAATTATTATTATGCCATTTTAGGACTTGAAATTGTCTCAAAATAATAATATAATTGTTTATCGCAATAATTTCTGGAACAATTTATCATCCAGCAAAATGTGTTATGACAGGAATGTCTTGGATCAATGGCATAAAAGCCAGATATATACCCGAACTGGTATTACAGATGGAAGTGGCCCAAATTAGATTATTTCAGGTTGAAAAGATCAGGAATTGTAAAGAGAGAAATTGTGACACAAGTAAAAATAAGATGTGCAATTCTGTATAATGTGGGACATATTTGGATGAGACAATTGGAGGTAAGACTTAATAAACTTTGTCTTCTTCCTGCTCCTTTTCAAACTGGATATGGGACTTTTGTTTGTTTATTTTAATGTATATACTTTTATGTTTTCTTCTTATTTTTACTTGTTCGAAATAAAGAATTCATTTCACTCAGATTGCTGTGAAAAAGTTGGCTACAGTTTGCATTTGGCCAAAAAAAAAAAAAAAAGGAAAGAAAGAAAAACAGATTAGCATTTTCCTGCTGCGTGAACGTAGGCTACGGTAAGTCCATTTATCATTTAATGAAGGTAAAATGTTGGCAGAGTTATAGTTGCCTCTTAACTTTTAATATCTCTCACCTTGCTTCCTGAATTTCCTCCATTTCACTCGACGGATCCTTCAAGAAGTCAATCTTTGACTTCTTCTTGGACTGCCTCTCCGAAAGCGCAGACGCTCTCTTCACTCTGATTTGGTGGGGTGACGGATCGCCATGGAAACTTCTGGACGACTCCGAATGCCCCACTGATGACTGCTCCGACTCCTGAGTGTGTGGGAGCTGCGATGGCTGCCGCTGCCTGGCCTTTTGTCTGCGACTGTTGTTGAGGATGATCGGCGCTGGCCGCGGCGCCTCCATTTCCGTGGCCATCGCTCTGTTGATGATGGCCTGGGTGGTGAGGTCCTCCATCTTGGAGAAACTGGCTGGAGTAAAAGTCGGAACGCTGACGGGAACTAAAGGAGCTGGAGAGACGACGTGTTTCACTGGCAGCACTTTGACAATGACTTTTCTCTCCGGGGTTACGTGGTTGGCAGGAGGAGAGACGTTCAGATCCGAAGAGCCGGGGGAAGGTTTTAAAATCACACGCGGGACCGACGGATTTAAACCGCCTCCGCTGTGGAGCATCTTGGCGATTTGGCTAATTCTGCTGTAAGTCGGCGAGTTTCCGGCAAGCGTCTGGAAAGTGTTCGATTTGGGGTCTTTGACGAGGATCTGCCCCTGTCGGTTGACGAGCAGCACCTGACGGACAGTCGTCTGCGGGCTGGGCGAGTTCACCACCGCCGCCTGCTGCTGCGACGCCTCCGGTTTGGAGGCGTCCAATCGGATCGTAATGGATCGTCCTGGAGCGGCGGCGGGCTGGATGGGTAGAGCGTTCAAGCCGTTGATGATGATCGGCGAGGCGACGGGATGCGGGACCGCACACAAAGTGGTGGAAGACGGAGAAACGGAGGCGATGTTGACGGTCTGCCTGACTTGAGGCGCGATGAGGGTGATGTTGGGGTTCAGCTGGAGACATTGTTTAGGCAGCAGAGGTTTGGACATGGAGGCGCCGGACAGCTTCCTCTTTACAACGATCGTTTTCTTCGGCATCGTTTTGGTTTCGGATTTGGGAGAAAAATCTGGATCTTTTAAATCGTCTTTGAACACATCAGTCGAATCATTTGATGAGGTTTCGTCTTTGTCGGGAGGGGCGCCCTTGTTTGAGTTGACGACATGGCCATCTTTAGCTGAAACAAAATGGCCCAACATCGGATCCAGCAGCAGTTCCTGCTGAGACGTCGGACTGTCGGAAGACAGCGGGACTTCCTCTTCCTGCAGGCACAGCTCCTCGCACATGGAACTGGGCTCCATGAAAACGGGAGGGGAAGAACTTTCCGGATCCTCCAGTTTGGACATTTGCCTCGGCAGAGAGAAGATGGACTCCAGCCTCTGCAGTGCGACAGTCAGATGTTTCGTAGGTGTTCCCTGAACACTGCGAGGTTTATTTTTGTCCTCTATGTCCTCCGTCTCCGACCCACTGTCCGCCCCGTCTAACTGGGAGATCGACTGAGCTGCAGCGGGTTGATTGGCGGCGTCAGAGCCGCTTGCCGCGTTGCACACCACCGTACGTGAAATCTTAGAGTAACATCCGCCGTCTTCATCCTCAGAGCTGTTCCCTTGATCGTCTTCTCGCATCTCCACGTCCCGCGGCCCGACTTCCGCCTGACCGCCGGCCAGATCCACGTTCTCGGAGAGGAGAGCCTCGTCGAACTCCAGCTTGGTGCCCAGCATGGACGCCACGACTACGTCCGCGTCGCTGTCGAACACGGTGTACGGCAGCTCCTGAGACATCAGCTGAGCCACTTCCTCCTCCAGGTTGTCGGGGGCGAGCGAGATCCCGTTCGTCGTGGCAACAGCGGCGTCTTCTGCCTCCGATGACGCCAGGAAGTCTTGTGGGACCTCCACCGTCACCGGAGCAGTGATTTTAAAGTTCTGGGTTCCTCTGGGGGAATGGGAGACGCCCCCTTGGCGAGGAGAAAAACCTCCACAGACGCTGGACCTCGGAGGGGAGTTCCACACAGGAGAGGTTGAGTTTTGCCTCGAAAGCGGAGGAGAGGCCGATCCAACGGTCGTCGATTTGGGAGGGGAGCTGAAGAGAGCGCATCGGGAGCCGACAGCGCCCCCGGGGCGGACGCTCATCGCCACAGACGGGTTGTTTTCTGTCGGCGAGGAGCTGCGGCGGCTCCTGGAGGACAGCCTGCGAGGCCGCCTGGTGTCGTCCAGGTCCCTCAGGGTGAGGATGTGATGAGACTTGTAAGAAGCAACTCCTGAAATCAAAGGGACAAGAACTAAACAGAAGAAAAATATTCTGGTTCCTACAAAAAAAAAAAAATCTAAATTACAGATTTTTTTACAGTCGTTTAAAAACATTCTGGATATTTTACTGCAAAATATCAGCTTCAGGATGAACTTTTTTTCACAACTCGTAGTCTGGTAGATTCAGTTCAATTTAAGACCAAAATTGAAACATTTTTCCATTGTCCGTTTTATTTTTTTTCCAAATTGAAGACCATACCACCTTCAGATTGAATAGGAACTCTAAAATGTTTTAAAAAGTCAGACATTTTACTGACCAGGAGACGGGAGCGGTCGTGATGATCCTCCTGCTGGTCTTCTGGTCTGTGTGTAACCTGGACTCCTAGGCCCGGGTGTGTGGTGCGTTTTAGAGTTTGGAGACGAGTTTGTGGACTTTACTGGGCTGGAAGAGGAGCTGAAGCGATCTGGAGACTCCACATCTGCTCATAAATACGACATATTATCATTATTAAACCACAATAAACTAAAAAACACGTTATTTTTTCAGATGATGTTAGAAAAATAAAATCTTTCAGTGTTATTTTAAGACTGGAGCAACCTGCTCACCTCGGTGGCGACTGGGACTGTGGACTATGGTGTGGTTCTCCTCTCTGTCCATCCTCAGGTCTTGTTCCTCACCAGGTAGAGGTGTGCTCACCTCTGTCACCTTACAGGTGTACTTACAGCGTCTGCGGGGGTCCACTGTGCTCCAGTACAACCGAGAGCATCTACAGATTGAAGGGAGAGAAATCGGGTTTATATAAAATACTGCAAGTACAATAACCTCCACACAAATTCACATAACATCTAGTCATATTTTAAACACTAATCCTCTAAAATAAATGTCAACTTTGGGAGGAAAAAAACCAACTAGATTTTGTGAAAATATAGAAACTAAATCAATATGATGAACTACAGAAAATGATGGGAAACCCCATAGGAATATGTAAAAATAGTATAATTTTAAATACTGGTACCACAACCAGTACAAAAATGCCTCCAAGCTCCCTAAAAATACCCAAGTTTGACTTTATATCAGAAATAAGAACTTACTGATAACCAACAGGATAAAGCATCCTCCCGTTTGACGACAGCTCTGACAACACACCGAGTTTCTGGATCTGTAGAGAGCCTAAAAAAAAAAAACCCACACACACAACATTTAGCACAATAATTTAAATACCATTGCAGGATAATTGTTTCAATAGTCAAATATTTTGATGATTAATCAGATTTTAAAAAGCCACGTTCTGCAGATTGTTTTACTTAATCACTCAGGCTCTCTTTAGACAATATTAGAAATATATTAAAAATTCAAAACAATGAAATTCCTTTTTTTACATAAGAAAATAAACTTTTTATTGCCTAGAATGCAACATTTCTAGCTAAAAAAAATAAAGTTCAGCCCTTTCTGCTCGACTTAATGTCAGTACAGTTATTTTATTATTATGACAGAATTTAAATCAGCTGATTTAACTTTGCAAATATTTCATATCCTGAACTACTAAAGAGCCAGATAAAGAAGCTCTTTTTTTTTTTTACCTTAAATGCTAAATAATGTCATTTTTATCCAGATTAATTACTGCTATAACTGTGTTGTCCTTTTTTCAGTCTGTGTACTCCATTTAAAATCAATTACTAAATTAGTTGACAATTATTTCAATAATCGATTAATCATATTAATTGTTTCAGCCCCATAGTGGTATTTAAAGAAAACACATGCATTCTGACATCAATATTTTTAAAGGCAGCAATTATAGAACAAAAACTTCATACAGTTTTGTCTATTTAATTAGGAGGGATTTCTGTTGGTAGCAAATAATATCCAGTTTGCACAGAAGAATAAACCAACACACATTTAATCTCACCTATTGTCATGTTTATACTTTCTGGCTCAAGGCCTGTAAGAAACTTTCTTCTCAGATTGATTCCCTCAAAGTCCACATAGACCCGGCGAGGGACCTGGAACCCGCTCCCCGACACCATCTAGAATCAAACAATCAGACTCATTTTTGTTACAAAAGGATGGAGAATTAAGATGACTTTCTTCCTGTAAATATTAATGAACTGAAAGGAAAATCGACTCTCATCCCCTCCTCACCTTTGCGCTAACGAGATCCCTGTGTTTGTAGCAGTACACCTTCCTGTCCTGCTGGAACACACACTCGTCTGTACGAGCGCACATGAAGTGGTAATTACTCAAGCAGGTGGCGAGGCAGCAGCCAACTGTGGCTCCACACTGTCCACAAAGATCGCAGCGCTGGATGAAGAAATATAAACAAAAAAGAGACATTAGAACTGTAATAGAATACAGTACGAGCTGTGTTAGCATCTCTGACATAGAAACCTGAATGAAAAGTGGTCTGGCTGGAGAAACTTATTTTTCTAAGTTCAGATATCGATCAATATAGCAAGAAATAACATCCAGAATCCAAATAATATTCAACATCACACTTTCCTTTTACAAAATCCACACAAGACTGTAGGAACCAGGCCATTATCACCGTATATCAAAGGTCTGCAACCTCAGTCCAGCTAAAAAAAACAACTTTTTTTTTAAAAGCTTTAAAGCTGCAAATGTTACATAACTTTTTGTGAAAAGGCAACTAAAAATGTCTTAACATGTAAAATAACATTTTTGTCATTTTTGATAAAACCAGTATTTGATTTCTGTTTTTAGGTTTTAAAACATTTATAAAATACAAAAAAATGGCTAAGAGGAAACAATGAGAAAAAAAGTAAATAAATATTACTGATAATTGTGTCATTCTGTTGTGCAAATTTAATTCAGGATTTATTCCATACATAACTAAAAAAAAACAGCTAAAATCTGCATTTTTATATCAATATATATATATATATATATATATATATATATATATATATATATGTTTTTTATTATTGGTTCTTAGTCAAATTATTAAGTACGATTGCAGACCCTTGGCATATGTTAACGGTTTGTCATAATTACCAAGTGGCGCCCCCTTGAGACAGCACTGTGCACTTGAAGAAGAGCACTGTTCTGCTCATAGACCTCTGCAGACCACAAGCAGCAGTTGATGTGGGCCCACTCATTCTGCCCCAAGTACAGCAGGCGCCCTGCGTCCTGTCAGGACAAAAACACACGCATCACTACGATAAGTAAAAGCTAAGGACATTTTCAGCATCTAAGACAGGAAAAAGATTTCTGTAGAAACTCACGCTGGGAGCAGCGTCTCCATATTGCTGGCACAGAGCACACTGCCTCAAATCCTTCATCTTAGTCGTATCTGGAATAAAAAAATTAACACATAAACCAGAGAAAACAAACAGCTAAACGCCTCATTTTAGAGGGGGAACATGATTCTCTACCTTGCGGACACTCGGGGGCGTCGATCGTAGAACGAGCGTCCCACGTAGCGACCGATGGCGGCGTGGCGTCGGTCTGAGCCTCCCTGGTGCGGTACGCTCGCTCCATCCACTGAGCGTAGCTGTGCTCCTTCGAAGGAGGAAGCACGGCCTCGGGAAGCATGCCACTGAACAGCAAAAACAATGCAGAGAGCTATGAAACAGCTGCTTTAGAAATAAAATAAAAACCGTTAGCAAAGATTCACTGAGTGGGCTCACCTTGGCAACTCTTCAGAGAAGTGATGGCACGAAGAAAACCAGCTGAAAACCTGTTTCATAACCTGCCAGAAAAACAATTTAAGTTTAAATACGAGATGATTTTAAACAAACGGCCTCATGTTTCTGCCATGCAAGCCAAGGATACACAATGAAAACAATCATACGGCTAAAAGATGGATTTTTTTTCATCCAAGATCTGATTTTAGTCAATTTTTTTCTAAATAAAAAGAAAAAAATTATGAATAAAAAACTGCCTTGTGTGAATGATGGGGTAATAGAGCCAAGCTACAATTTTTTTCCTCAATTACAAGAAAATAGTCATAACATTAGAAGAATAAAGACGCAATTTTACCAGAAAAATATGAGAAAAAGTAGTTTTAATGAAAAAAAGTTTCTATAGCTATCAGGATTGACCTGACCAACTTATTCATTTTGGATAATTACTTTAGAGGTCCTGCTACTAATAATAATAATTTGATGCCAATGTGTTAAAACTGTAAAACTGACACGAAATTATAACTTAAGATGCTCAACATTCCTCATTTAAATTTTTACTCCTAATATTACAACTTTATTCTGGCAATATTAAAACTTTATTGTTGGATTATTTTGACTTTATTCTTGAAATTTTAAAACATATTAATATTCTAGCTTGGCCAATAATAATCTGTCGTAGAGTTAATGTGAATTCAAAATACAAATAAATAGAAGCTGAAGCTGTATAACTCGATTGTGAAACAAGATGGCCGCCTAAGCATGCGGAGAAAACAAAAAAATCCAAAAATGAATTCTTCAAAAAGACTAAAATTTGATTAATTGATAGAATTGATTCATTGGTCAGGTCTAAACAAATTGGTAAAAGGTAAAAAGGATAAAACTAAAATAAGGTAAAAATATTCAGAGAAGGGAAGAGGAGGAGCTCACCTGAACGTAGCGCTCTTTGGACCGATTCGTTGGCCTCTGATCCTCAGGAAGAACTTCCTCTTCCTTCAGCCATTTTCTCATCACAGCAGCAACATCACAATGAAACGCTTTCTGAGAGAGAAATGACACAAGACAGGAATCAACAGGAAGACAAAGCAGAAGACATGAAGATGAGTGTGAGACAAAGTTCCTTCATGTCAAAATTCAGTGGTTTTCCAGAATAAAATTTTTAAGTCTTTTCAGTCAAATTTAAGAATTTTCCAATCAGTAGAACTTCAGAATGAATTTACTACAGAAACGCCTGCAGATGTCAGGATGAGAAAACCTGCAAAAAAAAAAAAAAAAAAACTAGAAACAGAAAGAAGGAAAGGTAGAAAAAGGAAGGAGAGGTGGATGACAAGATATCATGGAAGATGGAGGGATGAGTGGACCGGAGTGGACCCTGATGGGTGAGGAAGAGATAGATAAGCAGACTGACAGATGGACGGACGGGTAGACAAGGTGACAAGGATGGATGGATGGACAAGCAAAGGACAGAGGGATGGACAAGCAGATGGACAGATGAACAATCAGAAGAACGGATGAACAAGGAGAAGGATGGACGAGAGTGCAGACAAAAAGATGTAGACAGATGGACAGACAGAAAGCTGGATGGACAAGCAGACTGATAAATGGATGGGGGACAAGCAGATGTACAAATGGACAAGCAGATGGATGGACATGGAGAAGGATGGAAGAGAACGCTGACAAAAGGATGCAGACTCATGGACAAGGAAATGGATGGATGGGCAAGCAGGAGGACAGATGGATGGACAAGGAGACAGATGGATGGACAAAAGGATGGATGAATCCGAAGCCACTCACTATCGTCGTGTATCCGTCCTCTCTGAATTTGTCCTCCACGGCTCTCAGATCACAGACTTGTCTCTCCGTCCTGACGGAGACGTGTCTCTCCTTTGACTCCTGACACTGAAATTCGACAAACGATCTCAGGACATTTTCCAGAAAACAGACAAACAAACACAACTTGGCTGCATGGAGCCGTTGTCTCTCACCTGGTTGCACAGCAGGAGGTGCCGAGTGCTGCAGGAGGAGAGCAGCTCACTGAGAACCTCCTGCAGACCAGACAGCAGCTTGCTCTGCAGCACCTCCTTCACGCTGCCTCTGTCTGCGTGGCGCCCCCTGCAGGCTGTGCAGGTGACGTCCACTTTATCTGGCTGACTGGACATGAGCCCAAAAAGTTCCTCTGTAAACACAAATACGACCAACGTCACTTTTTTCCCTAAATTATAAAAGTAATAAATAGAAATTGAAAGCATGTAGATTTTTAGGCATTAGTTAGAAAACCCACAAATGTTACAAATGTGGATTTTTGTCGAGTAAAAAAGTAGAACTGCAAGAGGAAATCACAGAAGTTGTAATTTCTCACCTGATAATCCTTCACATCCGTAATGGACCCAGTGGCTGCACTCTGAACATCGAATCATCTCAGAGGTTTGGTTTCCCTCATAGCACTTCTGACAGACGGGGCAGAAATTACCTGACATAAACACACACAAAAAAATTGAATTATTATTTTTAATTAATCGTTATAATAAAGATAAACACCTAGAATACTCTGGATAATATATGAAATTGAGAGACTTAAAATCTAAGAAAAGGATGAAAAGAATTGGAGGACAACAAATGTTTCATTATTTAACAAACAAAGATTTAATTTAATCTGCTTTGTGGTAAAGACTGTGTTCTTTTGCAGCTTCAAAACTTAAAAAATGACAAGTTCATAGATTTTTGGTACAAGTGGACGCTAAATTAGGAAACTGAGACCTGATTTTGTTTAAATATTGGCTTTTAAATGAGTCTGGGTTTTACCACCTGTCCTGCTGTTGTTCTGAGAATTGGCAGAACAATATTTTGTCATGTTTGTGTTTTTTTCCCTAGTAATTCTTATATTAAAGCTGAATGAGGATTTCTGTACTTTTATTTTAGTATTGCAAGACGGAGACATGAAAATACATATATTTATATGTATACATTTCATTTATATACAACTGCAAAGACATCAGCTTGATGTTGTTCCTTTACTGCCATCAATGCATGCACCCTATTTAAAAGTAAATGGAAAATAAAATCTAGTTGTGACTAAGCGTTGATGAGCGGTCCGTGTGTTTCGGAGAGCCCACCTTTCTCACTGAGGCTGGTGCAGTCGGGGCAAAGGTCATGCTCGTGGTTCCAGGCCATATCCCAGGTTTTCCCTGGAGTCACGCCGCAGCTCTTACACCGAATGCACGTCATGCACACCTGCAGCGGAAAAACGCAACAATATTCACTCATCGGCTTCAGCTTTTCCTCTTTAATACTCCAAAAAAGACTCCAGCACAGTTTGAGGAAGGTGAAGCATTTACCCAGGGGGTTTTGGAGGTCACTGGCTTCGGGTACGTCGGTCCCAAGCAGGATGGGTGGTAGCAGGTTTGGCAGATCCTGCACTGTAAGACGGGCTGAACAAAACCACATCAACTGTAGAGTAATATTCCACTTTTGTTCCTTTTTATGATTTATGAATGTTTTACGTCTCTCTTAAAATGCAGAAAAGCTCATTTCAGGTTTGTACACTTTTCCCACAGTAAAATTTAAGAACTTTCAAGCATTTTCAAGGCAAGTTTCCAAACTTTTCCACACTTTAGAGATAAAAACAAAACAAATGAACTAAAAAAAGACCATATAAGTGTTAGTAATAGTTTTGTGATAGCATTCAAGATAAACTAAAATAACTAAATTTTATGTTTTGAAATGTTTCTCACACACACATCCCTGTAGACTAAATGGTCAGAACAAAACACTAATTTAACCAAAAAACACTCAACTTTAATAATTCTGTTTGACATATAAAATATAAGCTGACCTTTATTTCAAATACACAGATCAACAAATCCTTGATCTTCTTGCTCAAATAAAATGCTGAAACAGAATATACAAAGAAAAATACAACAAAAAAAATCTGTAATTCTGGCTTTTAGTAAATATAAATAGGTCTCAGTGACCTAAAAAGCAGAAAATTTAGTCTGATCTAACTTCAGTTTAAATTTTTTCTTTATTTTTATTAGATGTATGAAAATATCTGGTAACATTTTCCAAATTTAGGCATTTAATTAAACATTAGATTGCACCAAAGTGTGCAGTTTGGATATCAAAAACCTTCAAGGACTTTATGCAGAAATAAAGCCCTTTCCAAACCTTGTGAACATCTAACTGAAATCCAAGCATTTTCAAGGATTTCAAGCACTTGTACAAACCACGTCATTTCAGTTTTTAAAGTGACAGCGCCTACCTTCAACCTCTTGCTTCTGCGTCCGCACACGTGGCAGAACTTGCAGCGTCTGCAGCACCAGTTCTCCTTGGCCTCCTCCTTGGGGCGCTCCTCAGGCGTCAGGCAGAAATCATGGAAAGGTTCACAGCAGATCTGGCAGAAGATCATCTGCCCGATGGAAGATATTATGGTTAAACCAAATTCTTATAAAGATTCTTCTTTGATTTTTAACGCTTTAGCGCATGTGCGTCAAACTCAAGGCCCGGGGGCCAAATCTGGCACGCCGTAGCTTTTTGTGTGGCCCTCAAGACTCCAGTATTATATCAGTCCCTCCAGTTTTCTGTTATTCTGTGATTGTGGAAATTCACATAAAAGCAACAGATTCCAGATTTTTCCCGCTAACGCATAACTGCGTTTGCTGCAAATTTTTCACAAAAATTGTTGAAGACCTTAGGTGTAACGGATCACTAACGTTTTTTACTTTACGACACCACTGCCTCAGGCTAATATTAAGTTATTAGTTAGATCGATTAACAGAGTCACAATTAATGTCATACATAAATGTAAATATTGCAAAATTCCTTGAAATATTTCAAAATTAGCTCCACAAAATTAGTGATTTACATAGCAAAACAAACAAACAAACAAACAAACAAACAAACGCAATCTTAAAATCCTGGAGTGACTGGACAATGTGAAAATACGAAAAAAGTACTTATATTAATAATGTAGAGACAGTTATTTATTAATAGCTTGTTAATGGGTTTTATCAATACATTCTGGAACGACTGTCGCTATAAGAACATTCATGATCTTGATTTGTCCCAAAACAAAAATAAGTATGACACCCATTTAATAAACTTTAGTAAATAAAGTTTATTAGCGGCTGAAGTACCTCATGTTTCCCTTTGCTGGCGCAAAGCAGGCAGACCGGCTGAGGAGTGGTTGGGACGGAGGTGAGAACGCTGAGGCCGCCCATGAGCCACACATTCTGGACAGCACAGTCCTCCTGGATGGACGCAGGGCAGATAGCACAAACATCACAAAGATGAGTCAATATTTTTTACAATGTTGCTGGTTTAAATGTTTAATAAGAGCCATCTGTTCACTGACATGCTGCAGTAACAAAAGTTAGCATTACGCTCCACGTGTGTTAATGACACAGCATGTGGAAAATGAAGAAACATTGCCTTGCAAAAGTGTTTTCACTTCCTGAACCGTTTCACATCGCAGCCATCAACCTCAATGAGATAAAACAGCACAAAGCACATCAGGCTGGGCGATAAATTGATTTCATTATTTAATCGAAAGTTTGGTTTTTGAAGATTTCATTTTCGTGACAGGAAGCAGATTATAGCGCAGAGTATTCTGGGTAAATGCAATTAAAACAAACACACGATAAAGGAGAAATCTGATTCCACTGCACTTTTGTTTAAATGTCAGGAAGACAAAAGTTGTGCTCATGTCTTCTTCAGAGGTTTTTGTGTCATTTCCTTCAGTGTTTCTTGGTGTAGCGCCACCACAGGTGAGAGAGGGGAACAGGTTATTAAAATAGTTTGGTTGTTTTGACACAGAAAGCGAACCACCCCAGCTGAAAATGTAACAAATGTTCCAACTTTGGTGCCCAGCTGAACTAAGTCTACTGGACTATCGGGTGTGAAAACACTAAAATTCCCCATAAATTTATCCCAACAATCTGCAATGATCACTAATGGTTTATGTTAACTTCTGATGCTTCCACAAAGCTGCTAGATTTATAAAAAGCTGGACTTTATTAGTAAGATCACTGAATGCAATGCACTAAAATTTTTAAAAGGGTAACAGAGTAAAGGGGAACACCATTTTTAAGATTTTTACCTTTACAAGGCAGTTTTTCATTTACCTCTTGCTCATGCAATAGCTGCAAAACATCAAACTGTAATCTAATAATTAGAATTAAGAAAAGCACCTGACCTAATTTAGCCAAAATAAAAAAGGTTTAAAAATGTGAATGCACGTTGTCTTGAGAGCAACGACTCACCTTAAAGTCTACACGGATCTTGTGCTTGTGCTGCAACACGCCCTTTTGGGGAAAGCCGTTAGTTAACCCTGTCTGCGTGTTCACTGATGCACATTCAGGAGGATTCTGGGAACGAAGCACATATTGTGGATCAGTTGTTGGACAGCTTTGCAGCTTGGTCGCTTTTACAGAAGACGCCGCCTTGTCCTCTTCATGCTGCACCCGATGTGTATCTTCCTGCTCCTGTTGCTTCTGTAACTTTCTGCCTGGACTAGAAGTCCAGGAAAGATTTGGGAAAGTTTTATCTGCTTTAGCCGAGCAAACGTCCATTAGAGCGCCTGGATGCTTCGCTTCCGACTCAAATCCCTGAGAACACGCCTGAGGCAAAACCTCTGCCACAGCTATTTGGTGTTGTTGAGTTGGAGGAGGTGCAGGCAAACATAACGGTGGAGATTTCTGTGGAGTGTCTGCAATGGGAGGTGATGGCAACACAGACGCAGGGTGCATTTCAGTTTGCAGCGACCCTGGAGGAGAGTTTGCGCCGTTACGCGGTGGTAGTGAAACAGGAGGCTGCGTTAAAGGCTCCACAAACCGAGGCATCTGCCACGGCAAAGACTGGGAGCCAGTCTTCAGGATGTACGCAGGCAGACGGTACAAGTGTATCTGCAGCTGCTTCTGCAGCGTCGGCACTGGGATCCCGGCCCGTCCGGATTCGGGGAAAGTTTCTCTGCGCTGTGTCTCTTCTGCGTTCTCCTGTGCCTGTGGAGGAGGGGACTGCCTAAGCCAACCAGCAAGACGGGTTCCATAGTTACACTATTAATAGTAGCATGCAGCGGCGACGACCAGCGGCAGCGACAGAAGAAAGGTGAATAGGGTGGTGCATAAAGTGTTAGCAAAGAGGAATAAAAGGCAAAGAAGAGTTAAGAAAAGGCAGTCACCAACGGTACACATATATCTGGTGTGAAATATGGAAAAAAGCTGCTATTTGTAAGGAGATCCTGATTATACTCGACTCCTAATAAATGCAGTTGGTGTTTTATTTTACGCCACATCCCCAGCACACTACGCAGCATTTCTTTAAATCATAGCCTGCTTTCCAGTGTAATAATTTAACGTCACTGCTCCCAACAAACTCAATTAAGTGTTTACATGCATGCTGGCTTTTGCACAATCACCTGCTCTGTTTTTACTCATTTTTAATAACATGTCTGCTGTTACTGCACATCTGTTTTTCTGCACTCATGTATTGTAAATAGTCTGTCTTTTGCAACGTTGAACACACATGCAAATTATGTGCATTTTTGAAAAGATAACTTCTGAAACTGCACAGTATTAAGTCTTGTACAGCCTATTATTATTATTATTGTTATGGTTGTTATTGTTAATTATATTGTTTTTAACACTTTAAGAATGTTTTGTGTGAACCTTTATAACTGTTGCTGCATTTCCTCTTTGCAGGACAATAAAGGATGTTTCTATTATATTCTAATGCTTTAAAGACTAATAATAAAGCCCTTGAACATTATTTTACTCCCCTAGCATATCTGTGTTTTTTTTCTTTACAATCACAGTAACAGATTTTTCAGTTTAGAATTATATTAATAAAACAGAGACTGCATTGGCTGCTGTGTTGTGCGTTGCATTTAGAAGAGAGCAGCTGAAACACTAGTCAGTAAACATGCTAATGCAAGAACAGGATTCAGTAAACGACTTCAGATGAGAACTGAGTTCATAGTCTGTTAATCCTGTCGTAATTAGCAATTAATCAATTTGAATTATAATCCGTTTAATTAGATAAAGGAGATGAATCTTTTGATTGAAATGTATGGGAAGTTTTTACTTTACTTTTTTTTTTGCGGCTAGGAACGTAAAAGCAGTGAAGGAGAATCAAGCGATATAGATTTAAAAAAATAAATAAAGTGTCTTAATCAGGAAGAATCAAATAAAGATAACAGCAAACATGCCAAACAGCCCATGATTGTTTGATTAGTTTTGGGGATTCTTAAAACAGGGGGTAAGTAAAAGCAAAAAGTTTCAGCCAAAAATAACAGCGCGTTTAAAGGGGGGGTGGGGTATTATGCAAAATCGACTTTTTTGAGTTTTATATCATGTTATGATGTTATTCCCTCATCAAAAACAAACCTGAAGGGGAAAAACGTGAGCTCCTTGTGTTTTTGCTCACAAAGCTCCTTGGAGTTGAAGTTCCCAACTGAGTTCCCGCCCCACAGAGAACCCCTCCACCACCCCTTCCCCACCCAGCTCCTCCAGACTAGCGGCAGCAGCAATTAGCGAAAACCCAGTGGAACTTTGAATCTCGGCTCATGATGCGAACGGTTGTAAACGACACCAATGGATGGCAGAAGAATTGTTGTGATGAAATGCTGAAGGGAGGGGTTCTTAAAGAGACAGAGGCCCATTTTAACAGAAACAGCTATGATGCAAAGTCAAATTTCTTTTAAGATGTTTTTGATTTATATACAGCCTTTTCATATCACCTGAAGGTAACATAGTAACTTTGTGCTATAAAAAAAACCCAAAATACCCCCCCTTAAAGTAACTAAGCAAATTTAATTCAACTTTCACAATATAGAGTTTCCTCCAGTGTATCATAAGCCTGGCGGGTCACCAGGCTTTACTTGTGCCCCCCACCAGGCTATGCATTGCTTATTTATTAGTCTTTTTAAAATTACTGCATTTTTAAGACTTTATAGTTGGTGTTCAGGTTTTAATCGAGTGATATTTTCAAATTTCTTGTGAATTTTAAATATTTTTAAACTCAAAAACACAGCAGGCTGAATGAATGACCTAGCGCCCAACCACCGGGCTCAGCAAGTTTTCTGGGGTTTCTGCAAGTTTTCAATTATTACCTTGCAATAATTGTTGGTTAGGTTTAGATACTATCGGGTCACCTTTTAAATATAAATGACATTCTCCAGTAATATCCAACTTTAAAAAAAAAACACTAAAAGAAGAAACAGTTACTTTAAAACAAAGAAACCTTATGAATTCGTTTTAAGGTCGATTACAAATAAATGAAACTGCTAAAAGTGCCTTTTTCCAATAAAAGAGAGACAAATTCAAGAATTCAAGGAGGTAAGATTAACAGACAAAAATCATGTTAGTAAATACATCTTTTTATCAAGTTATATGGATTTGAATTGATAAAGTCTCAATAAAAACTTATTTGGAAATCAATAGTTTACATGCAGAGGACTTACTTTAAACAGAAAATGAGTAACACTTAATTTTAAAGATACAGTTAATTCAAAATAGATTGTGAATATAAAAAAAGAAGAAAAACTGAGTAACGAAGTCCTGGGCAATGTATTATTTGGAAATAATTGCTCTTATCTTAATAGTAAACAATATTTGCTATTTGGGTGAAAATCTAATTTCACCATGGATGAAGAACCTAAGACGTTAACAAAAATAAATTAATTAAAGAAAAAAAAAGGAAAGCATTTTCCAACAAATACAATTTGGCCCAGTCTTAATTAGGGAGGACGTAGACGTCAAGAAGGACGGTGGTGTTGTCTTTACCTTGTACGGTCTCTGTCTTCTGGGGAATCCCCGACGATTCCTGGAGTCAGTGAACTGGTCGTCCTGCTGCAAAACACCATCTAGAGCACAAAAAAAATACAGCAGAGATGCATGATTAGGAGAAAACTAAAATCAAAATAAAGTTCAGTATGAGGGTGGAAGGGACGAGGTTCCCTTATTTGAGCTCCATCTTAGTTCCTCAAATAGAAAAAAATATGTTTTAAAGACTGATGGAAATTGTTTTCTCATTTTTTTTTGTTATACAAAAGAAATATAATTTTCTGAAGTTTTAACTCAAATGTCAGTTTTAGTGACTAAGAAAACAAAACAGAATTCAGAAATAAAAGTGTAACTGAAGTATGTTTGAAAATAGATCATCAGTCGGAGTTGATGGCACAAAAGATGCAGAAGAGATGAAGATTATTCTTTTGGTTTAACAAAAAAAATACATTTAATACAGATAAAAATCAGCACAAACTACACAATCTGGTCAATTTTAATCCCCTTTTTTATTGCCTTTGAGCAGAGTAACACCAACAATAGAACCAGCCGCATTCAGCTTCTATACACCACATGTCTGGAACAAACTTCCAGAAAACTGCAAAGACGCCGAAACACTGAGATCCTTCAAACCAAGGCTACAAACCCACCTGCTTAGAGTTAAATCTGATGAATAAAAACTGGAACATTGATCAATATATTTGATGTTTATTTGCTTCATGATTTTGAAGATGGAATTGGACAAAATGTAATGTTTTGTAATTGTTTAATATATTATTTTTTTATTATGTAAAGCAATTTCAGGACATGATGTCACTCAAAATGCTAAAACGACTCCCTTTCACATGTGGTGAAACCTTTTAAAAAATGTGACTGCTTACAGTAAGCATTTTTAGTTTTCAAGAGGTTTACGTTGTTTGTTACCTTGGCGTGACGAAGCAGCTGCGTTCGGATTGCCCGCCTTGTTCTCCGTTTCTTCCTCCTCTTCCTCGGATTCGGACTTCAGCAACCTGCTGTAGGAGCGCGGCTTGATTTTACGCAGCGACTGCTTCCTGATTCCGAGCGCCGTTGATTCTTCGCCGCCGTTCACATCACTGCCAGACGCTGAGCCTGAATACAACCTCGACCGGACTGAGAAAAGAAGCATCACGACTCATTTAAATTCAATAATTTAAAAGATGAAATTATTAGAACTCCGCTCCAATCTTACTAGGAAACTTACGTTTTAGTGGTTTTAGAGTGCGGTGAATCTTTGCTTTCACGATTCGGTCGCACTTCCTGTATCTGTGTAAGAAACGGGGAAAACAACATTAAAAGGCTGAAAGTAAAATTCCTCTGTGGACATCTGTAAATGTGTTGAACTGTAAGGTAAATTAATGTTTATCACACCAGTCTGATGTATTTTGCAAATGCAAAAGAAAATCGAAAGACGGTGACAAAAAAAATAGAGAAAGAACACGAAGAACGGACTGTTAGAGGAATAACTCCCAATCAAAAGTTTTATTTTATATAATGTTGAAAGTTACAAGATACAGCTCTGGAAAAAGAGTCCACTGCACTGAAACCCATTAAAATCTCCTGGTTATTCCACCAAATATTGATCTCTGAGCTCTTCTCGAGTTAAAACATTACTATTGTTTTCTCTAAATGAATAGAGAAAACAATAGTAATGTTTTCTTTGCATTATTTGAGGTCTGAAAGCTCTGCATCTTACTTCTTACTTTGACCATTTCTCTTCTTCTGCAAATAAATGCTAAATTTTTGCTTGTGATTTCAGAAACATGTTGTCAGTAGTTCATAGAATAAAACAATGATCATTTTACTCAAACATAAACCTATAAAAAGTAAAATCAGAGAAACTGATCCTTTTAAGTGGCCTCTTATTGTTTTCCAGAGCTGTAGACGCTCTAAATGTAAACAAATGTGGAAAAGGCCAATAAAAAGTTATATGATTAAAAAAATAGAAAATTATTTATCATTTTTCTTCCACTTCAAAATTACGCACTACTTTGTGTTGAAGTTTGTGATTGAAACATAACAAAACTGTAAAAAAAAAAAAAAAGCAATGGTTATTTCATATCAGGATTATGAATTTCCACATGTTGCAGGTTAAATAACTTAAACAGCTGCTTAGATGATAAAAAATTACGCAGAAAATTTAAATAAAATGTCACATTTCAAACGCAAATCAGATGAAAATGCTGTTTCCTCGTTAGCAAGTCACTTCCAAGCATGCGGTGAACATGAACCAGAGTGGCAAGGTGACATAAACGCAACTTACATGCAGCACTGCTTCTTGGTGTTGGGCCCGCCGAACTTGGGCTTATCCAGGCAATTGATGCAATCGCCGCAGTCGTCCTCGATGAGGCAGCCTGTGCAGACGCCGCAGCGCCTGGAGCGGACTCCTCCGGGTAAATACTGACTCAGAATCCTCCTCCTTATGAACTTGTGTCCCTTTTTCCGTCTCCTGCGCTGGATGCTTTCCTGAGAGACAGCCCACTGTGCCCTGCCCTGATCAGAGATGTCACCATCATCGTCATCATCATCAGCCACATCTGCAGGTGAGACACAGAGGAGGATGGGGTAAAGAGTCGATACGGCGTTGAGTCGGCTTTAAATGTGTGTTTGGATGTTTAGGGGATGGCAGAGCTTTTCACACAGCCTGCAGGAGGCGATGACTGGAGCTTCATTACATGCATTGATTAGCTTTTTGTCCGATAAGTAGGCTTCCTGCTGATATGTTTCTACTGGCTGCCTGACGACATAAAGCTCTTTAATGAAGTTGGGTGGCTGGATGAATTGTAAAGTCACCCACAAAATCCTTCAAAACATTTGAGATTTAATCAGGACATCTTAGTTCCCCTTTTTGGTAAGCAGTAACTATTTGGACATTAAAAATGAGAAGTGATTCAGAGGTTTGTTGTTTTTAGTAATGCATCTACAGTAACCGTGTGCAAGCATCACTCTTTGCCCTTTCCTCCATATGTGTTCAGTGTACGTTGTACATTTTAAGACATCCGGTCTCAAGACATCATCAGACATAGCCTCAGGAAAAAAAAAAAAAGAAGAAAAAAAAAAGCATCGGGTCACAAGAGAAACAAAATAAATAAATGAGACTTCAGACAAAACAGAGACAGAAAGAATCATCCTGATGCTGGTTCGGAGGCCGAGCCACTGCAAATATTTGAATTGTTTTAAAAAAGAATTAGATAAAATAAAGATGGCGACATATTCAGATAACAGATTATATGACCAAACAGGAACTTAATAAAAGAGAGATGTTCTAGTTTCTCTATTTCATATAAAAACATGCAAGTAGAGCTGGATGATAATTCACTTTTATTGGTTTGGAAGATTTCATTTTTGGAAAATCTGGATTCCCCCCACCCCCACCAATGCACTCCTTACATTAAAAAAGTTCAGAGTGATGTCGGAACATCTGGAGCCGCCATTTTGTTTGTCAATCGTGTTTTACAGCTTCTATTTATTTGGACTTTGAGTCGATCGGGTCAACTTTACGACAGAGTATTAAAGCCAGGCTAGATTTTTTTTTTGTATTATAAGAAAAATGCCATAACAAGAGAATAGAGCAGTAATTTTATGAGAACACAAAAAATAAAAAAATAAAAATGAAGAATGCCAAGCATCTTGTGAAGTTACACTTTGATAATCATCTAAAAATATATAGCTAAATTATTTTCTACTTCAAGATAAAACCATACGAACTGAGCTGATCACTAATTCTTTTTCTCACTAAAACAAATATTTCTCATAATTTTAAGAAATTTTTTTCTGGTGAAATTGCATATTTTTTATGCTACTATTACTGTGTTTCTGTAATTAAACATTCTTGTAGCCTGGTGTTAATAGTCTGTTGTACAACAGAGTGAAATAAAAGCCACTTTTTGAACATATTTTCTGTCATTTGCAATCTCTTTTTAGAAAAGAAAGCAAGCAGGAAAATAAATGGATAAAATTGTAAATCAAATTTGGTTAAAAAAAATCTGATTATATTTAAGCCTCATTGCCCAGCTCTACATCCAAGAAGTCAAAATATTAAACTGCTTATTCTCGTCTTTTCCTCCATTTTGTCCATCTGTCTTGTCTGAAGTCTGATGACTATTTTCCTGAGACTTCTTGTTTGTTTGTTTTTTTTGTCTCTGATGATGTGTACCTGGGATCGGACTGAGTCCCAAAATGCACAGCGCCTCAGTGAGTTCATTTGTCAAGCAGCACTTCCTCACCTCATTATGAGTGAAGTTCACTCGACCAGTGTTGGGTAAAGCTTTCCAACAGCGGTGGCTAATCTGTGTGTGACAAAAGATATTTTTGCTGGCAAATATTTTTAGACATTGAACTTTTAAATATTTTTTCCCCTCTGCAAATTAGCTTGGAGAGTCGCTAACAAAACTGTGCTCATCTTGATCATATTTTAAGTTGTATTTAATATTTCAGTAGTTTGTTGTTGTTTTTACACTTAGTATAGTGTGTAAAAACACACACTATATTAAATGTGGTTTTTCTTTTACACTATACACAAGAAAATATAAATCTGCAAAATCATAACAAAGCATTTTAATCAACTACACCCACAGACAAAAACTCTCAGAGCAGAAACAGATGTTTGGTACTGAAAAGCAACATGAATGCCTGAACCGTACCTGTGTGTGTGGTTGTGCACACTGATCATTTAACTACATATAACACACTCCTTTACTTGGATATTTCTAGTAGATTTGTTGAGTTTAGGTCCATTTGTTAGCCAAAATGCTAAATTGCCTCAAACAGAAGCATTTTTTTCCTCCATTTTCTGTTTTACCACAAATTTTATTGAATAAAATCAAAATCAAATGGGCAAAACTTCAATAGTTGTGGGCTACTTGAGAAATAAATGTTCTCTAAAGCTGCAGAGATTTGAAACTGCAGGTTGTAATGCAATCTTTCACAGATCTTTAGTTAAGTCCATTCACCTAATTTTAAACTTTAAACACTCCATGCAAACCAACAAAAGCTATTAAACAACATCAACAACGATTCAAAAGAACAACATTCTTGCTAACCATGCTGAAATATATATAGCAAAACTGTTACGTTTAGACATTATCTAGTAATAAATGTTTATCTAAATGTCTATTTTTGTTACTAGAGACCATGAAATATGACCTCAGGTAATTTGGTTCAGGTACAAACTAAACCAGGTGATGGAGGTCAGAAATGTCATCATAACACCTAAACCACCTCAGATTTATCTTCAGAAAACTAAAAAGTTTGTAACATCACAGATTATTTACCAGTCGCACGAAACATGACATCTAAGGACAAAACTGTACTTTAAAAACATTTGACAGTCTATTATCAACACAAAATAATAAAAATTGTTGAACATGATTGATTTTTTTAAACAATACAAACAAAACAAAAATAAAACAGCTAAATTCAAGATTCTGTTTCTTAAATGTATTTAATAAAGTCACTAAAAATGTTTGTTTATTCTAATCTGAGATCAGATTTTATATTAGATGTAAAAAAAACACCTGCTTAATCCACAGTAAGACAAAATATAAATTTGGGTGAGTTTAGTTGTTAAATTGCAAAATTACCACCAAAATAAATGACCCATCCACATGAACAGAGAACCAAACCACAGGAACATTATGACCAAACTATATTTAGATTATTTACTACTTAATTTCTCCCGAAAATAGTAGAGCCAGAATCTGGTCAATAACTGACTGAAAATAATCTACTGCTACAGCAAACATCTGAAGATACTTTCAAAATTAAAACTAAATTTTAAAAATATTGATTGCAAACCAGAAAGAAAGTCAAAATGTAGAGAAAAACATTAACGTCTTTGTTATCGATTCATCTGAAAACAAAACCAGAACTCTTGAGATTCTTAAGTTTAATTTGCCTGAAATAACTTTTTACCAGAACACAAAGAATATTGATACAAACATTAAAGGCATTTCAACTTTTCAACTTTTATATTTTGCAATCCAATCCCAATGCATAAAAAATATTAATTGCAGCCTTTGTTGTATGTGGTAAAAAGCAGATAGTGAGGTGATGAGCCGTACCTTCTGCAGCGGGGGAGAAGGTGATGCCCTCCCTCTCGTGAAGCGGTAGAGCACTGAGTCTGGGAATGTCATCCGGCACCAAGGCACGGGGCTGACCCAAAGCCACGGCGGCCGCCCGGCACACATGCTTGATCCTGGGACCGCCGAGCGGCTGCTCCTGCACACAGACTCAAAGGTTAAAAGCTGGGACACAAGCCAACGAATCCAAGCAGAATTATGGAATCAGTGATGTTGACATTGTAAATGTGCAAATCCTAGATGCACTTCTAGTCCTGATAGTCCTTTACCGACTGCAACAAACCCAGAGAGACAGAATCGGGACTTAAAAAATAAGCAACAATATGAATAGATACAGGAAGTGACACTGCTGATTCTTTGAAAAGTATTTATATTCCTTAGGCGCATTTAAAGATGTACATCAAGTTCAGCTGAAATTTTGTGGTTGTATTGAGTTTTCATGTGATAAACCAACACAAAATAGTGCACATCTACAAAACAGAAGGAAACGTAAGACATTTCAGTTTTTGGGGGTGGGAGGAAGTATCCTTTTTTATGTGCACTACTTTGCATTGGTCTATAGTTCATCCCAATAAAATATGTGGAAGTTGTGGAGAAAAATGAAAATCCAAGCTGTATGAATATCTTTGAGAGCCACTGCAATGGATACAACATGACTGTGTGTATCTGGTGTTAAAACATTACCTGGGGACTGTACTCTTTAGGAGAAAGGCCAGCTCTCCTCCTTCTCCTCCTCCTTCCACTCACTGGCACTTGTGGTTCCCTTGAGCTCAACTAAAAGTCCAAACAAAGTGGAAACATGCTTTTAGAAACAGGTGCAGTAAAATTAAACTTTAACTAAAAAAAAGAAAAAAGAAGCCGTGTGATTTACCCTCGATATAATCAGACTAAACAAAGAGGGCAAATCAGATAGTGCACGAGCAAATATTTTCACTTCTCGTTTATCAGTTGGGTCAGATGTCAGTGTTAACATTGAACTGCTTTACTGATGTTTTACAGAAAACAAAAGATGTCGAATTAATGTAATACTTTGTCTGTTTTGCCAGTTTTCTCTTTAAATATATATATATTTTTTTACATTGATTTTCAAAAGCTAGGATTTTTGTTCCTACCTGTGACAGCTTGAGCTGCTTCTGCTGATCAATCTTGATGAGCTGGACTTTGGCTTTCTTCAGCAAGTGCAGCATCCGCTTATTAGCTCCACTGAGACCGAGCCGATGGCTCGGCCCACCCACTTCCAGCACATCACAACTGGGCTCCTCCGTCACTGCTGCTTCTTTATGGGACGGCACAAAAAAAAGGTAGATTATTCACGATTTCGTAGCAGGAAAGGCATCCTTTTATTATGACCAGAGCCTTAGACAATATTTTGTTTTAAAGGGGACCTGTAGTGCAAAATTAACATTTTGCTTGTTTTTGTATTTCCATTTGGGTTTCTACTGCTTCTAAAAAACCGCCTGGCCATATTTGGCAAAATGTTAACGTTTTTTTTTTTTGGTGTCTGGAAAACGAGCTGTTTCAAAAACTACTCCTTGCCTAGCAACCTCAGCGAAGCCCAGCTGGTTACCTAGCAACCCAGACAGAAGTCAACCCATTACTTAGCATCCCTAGTGAAGCTCTAGCATATTTGGTTAGCTGGTTTTACTGCTGTGCGCTCTACAATGGCTGCTGAAAAAGTTATGTTGCTGACTCGCTATTCAGAAACCACTTGCTACTTTCTTGTTGGTTGTGCAGGAGGCTCTACAAATGCTTTTCAAAGGTGAACAGTTAAATAATTGTGTATGTTTGCAGCCATTTCTATTTGTGTGTGTAAACGTTGAGTTGGGGGGCGTGGCCAGAAGCAGCTTGATTTAAAGAGACAGGACGCCCTAAAGCAGCTCGATCTGAAAGAAGCTCAAATAGGCAGAACTGAGCAGAATAAAATCTCATTATCTCAGAATGGTTTTGTGCAAAGAAATGTAATGAACATGGCTTTGTGTAACCCATAGACCTATCCTGTTCAAGGAAGCATAGTAAGTCACTTTTAAACATCTTTTAGAGGAGGAAATACAGCAGATGGGATACTCACTGTTATTCTCCATGTCTTCTGCTGGAGTTTCCTCAGGAATTTCCACGCCTGCCTTGACCACCACAGACACTTTCCTCACAACTCCTGGAGAGTCCATTTCCTCCATCATAATCTTGGACCTCCGTCTCTTCCTGTTTGGGAAAGTCAAACCGTCGTCCTGGTCTCCATGGTCCTCCTGAAAACCTGACTGGCTTTTCTTTTTCTCTGCCAGTTTTAATGTCAGCTTCTTCAAGTTTTTGTAGATCTCGACGTGACTCGCGCCTGAACTGGGTTTGGATGAGATCCTTGATTCAAGCAACGAGCTGTCCAACACCGACTTGGGGTAGCTGTCTAGCGACTGTGAGCTACCGTCGTAGCCTGATTCGTTGAGGGACAGAGTGGATTTTGTGTCATCCTTCTGCTGACTTTTCAGCCACGTTGACAGTGAACCCTTTGGAAACGGGATGATTTCCTCGTTAAGGAATCTCTTTGGGGTTTTGATAACGCGGGAAGACCGTCCACTCGTTACAGTCGTACAGCTGTTAGAGCTTTGTGATAGCTTTGTCTCGTCCTCCAGTGGCTCCATGCTCTGACCCTGCGATTCGACACCGTCCACAGCTGGAAGCGGCTCTGGCATGTAGGTATAAAACACATGCCGTGTCCGAACCCGAGCGATTTTCGGCCGCTTGTTAACAGAAGCATCCGTTGATTGTTTGCGCCTATATCCGAACAAAAATCTGCCTCGATGCCGTCTGTGGGCCCTCTTCCCTGAAGTCTCTGCGGCTTTGCTCTGGAGCGACACTCCCGCCTCTTTTTCACTCTGGGCTGCCGCCTCTGGAGACGAACCCAAACCTTTAACCATCCTCATCATCCTCTGACGTTTGTGAAAAGACGTCAAGGAGATGGCGGCGCCCCGGCCCATTTGAAAACCGCTTTTAAGCTTTTCAGATCCTTTTGCCTGAGACGTCTCCAAGTCCGCCAACACTTCTCCTTCAGCCTGATCCGTCCAGTCAGAATGTTCTTCATCTCCAACCGGTTCGGATACACTCGACTCAGTTTCATGAGGTTTAGCATCACTTCCTGATCTGGTTGCTCTTTGCTTCAATGTTCCTTCTCCTGCCGATTTTTGCTTTTCTACATGTTTGGCTTTTGTCCCTTTGTTGTGCACTTTGATAACCACTTTTGGCAATTCTTCGTCTCTAGTTGGGCTCTCCTTCACATCCAGCCCTTCCTTGGAAATTCTAGGTACAATTTTCCCAATCAGACTTGGTTTTGGGGTCTTGGGAATAATTTTTCCAATAAGAGGCTTTGCTTCCAGCACCGGATCTGAAGCTTGAGGCGGCTTGGCTTGGCTCACCGATCTCTTGGACAAAGAGGTTTTAGGTTTTGGTGGACAAACTCTTGAGCTCCCAAAACCAGTAAAATCTTCCTCCTAGAAAATATAAAATAAACCTTTTAGATGGTAGAATAAAGTATTTGGAAATGTTGAGATAAGGACAGATAATTTGTAAATCACCTGTGGTTTTATGACAACAATATCATCTTAGGTTCAAACTAACAATCTATTGATTATTCTGATGATTAATCAGATAAAAAAAAATTAGCACATAATGTAAGATTTTTATTTAATCCTTTTTTGTACAATAGAAATAAATTAAATTTGCAAACAAGTCATTTTTGAACAAGATATTATCAGCATACAGCCTTTTTTCAGTCTGTACTCAAGTTAACTATTACGAAATTAATAGACAGTTAATTTAATAATCAATTAATCACAATGAATTAAACACTTCAGATCTATTTGTAGAAATGATCAAATGAATTTGGATTTTTTTTCTAACATCTTATCTGTTTTTACTCTTCATAGAGATATTCTTATAGATAGGGCTCAGTGGCAGCAGCTGCTGCTTCTTATCAGCTTTTCCTGCATTTGATTAGCTCAAAACACACAGAAAATACATCAGCTGGTCATTTCCAAACCGAGTCAAAGATGACGGCTTCTGGATCATTTTTCTGCTCTTACCCCAGAAACAACCTAATTAGTTTTTCTTCTAAGTAGCTAATTGTTAGCTTTGATATTAATGAGTTGTATCATCATTTGTAAGTTACTTTAGGAAAAAGGTGACTGCTAAATGCATAAACTAACAGCAAGTTACCCCTTCAGTATGCAAAGATCGCCCCAGCATCAGCAAAACACACATTTACTGCAGACTTTGAAGCTATATGTGAACAGACAGATAATCCTTTACAATAAATAGTACTGAACAAATAAAGAAATAACTGCCCTGAATTAAAAATTGGACCAAAGAAAGCAGAAACACGCTGTAAAATAAAACGACTTTTTCACCTGCATGTAAAACAATTAAAATTTTGTAAAAACAAGCAAAAAATAAATAAAAAATACTGAAAAGGCTGAGTTTTAAGAGCCTGAAAAACAATTTTCCAATTACAATAAAGAAAGTTTGTTTTGCCTGCAAAACTACTGAAATGCGATACAATTACCTGAAGAATATGCAATGTGTGTGCAAAGATAAAACTGGAATAAATAGAAAAAAGTACACTATTTTATCAATAGCTGCTGGAGCTTCAGACAAGAACTTCAAAACATAGTTAGAAAGCTTGTGTGACATTTAGCATAGCATGATACAATCAACTCTCGAATATGTAAACAAAACTGTACTCTATGATCTTTATAAGAAAAATTTTTAATCTTTTTTTAAAATAAATTTATAATATTAATTTTCTTTCTAATAAATTTGTTAGAAAAAAGAGAAAATGCTTTTGTTCACATTGATTCTACCATCTTTGTAGTTTATTCATATATTATTCATATGTTGAATAATAAATATTGTACACTGTATCATAGGCAGTTAATTTGCAGCAGACTTAGTTATATATATATATTTGTATATATATATATATATATATATATATATATATATATATATATATATATACATATATACACACACATACATACACTTTTACTTTTTAAACTTCCAACTTATTATTTTTATTCAATTTAACACTGTGTCTAAATAATGAATGTTTATATCATTACATATATAAGGAAACATAATTTTTAAATCCAAATTATAATGCAAAAATATCCTGCGTTTGCCAAGTTACTGGTAAAAATCACAACAATTGGAAAATAAAGCAAACATTAAATTACCAACAGCACTTCACAGTGGTGATATATTTATGTTGGTGTTCAGCTTCAGAAGGTGAAAATGTTCTCGGGTCAGATTTCACTAAAATCTGAGCACGGTTCTGTTGTTTGTCCCTGAAATTACCCGATAAACCACAAATGTGCATGTCACTGAAGATGAGTCAGTTCTCTTCATGATTTGATTTTCAGGTACTCGCCCAACAGAAACTGCATCTCAGCATCTGCAGCCTGGCTCTCTGCTGTTACTCCCCTGTTTCATCAGTGTAGTTTTGACACAGCAACTGAATT